GAAGACCAGAAGAGTTGTGGGATGACATCAAGAACATCATATATGAAGAAAGCAAAAAGTCATTAAGAAGACAAGAAAGAAGGAAAAGGTCAAAGTGGATGTCAGAAGAGACACTGAAACTTGCTCTTCAGCCTAGAGATGCTAAAGCAAATGGAAGAAATGAGGAAGTACAAAAGCTGAACAGAAAATTTCAAATTTCAGCTCGAGAAGTTAAAGCCAAACATTACAACAAAATGTGAAAAGATCTGGAATCAGAAAACCAAAAAGGAAGAACAAGCTAGGGGAACTGAACTAAAAATTCAAACCTCGACTTTGGTTATTGAAAGATTCTCTGGGCAAATTATTGAATGATGCAGAAAGCATCAAAAGAAGATGGAAGGAATACACAGAGTCACTGTACCAAAAGGAAATGGTTAATGTTCAACCTTTTCAAGAGGTAGCATATGATCAAGAGCCAATGATACTGAAGGAGGAAGTCCAAGGTGCACTGAAGGAATTGGCAAAGAACAAGGCACCAGGAATTGATGGAATAAAAATTGAAATCTTTCAAAAAAGTGAGGCAGCACAGGAGACACTCACTCATCTCTGCCAAGAAATTTGGAAGACGACTATCTGGCCATCTGATTGGAAGAGATCCATATTTGTGCCCATTCCAAAGAGAGGTGACCCAACGGAATGCGCAATCATCGGACAATCTCTTTGATATCCCATGCGAGTAAAGTTTTACTACAGGTAATACAGAAACGGCTGCAAGCATACATTGACAGAGAACTTCCAGAGGTTCAAGAAGGACTCAGAAGAGGCTGTGGAATGAGGGATATCATTGCTGATGTCCAATGGATCTTGGCTGAAAGCAAAGAATATCAGAAAGATGTTTACCTGTGCTTTATTGACTACACAAAGGCTTTCAATTGTGTGGATCATGACAAACTATGGACATCATTGCGAAGTATGAGTATTCTGGAACACTTATTTCTGCTCATAAGGAATTTGTACCTGGACCAACAGGCAGTTGTTTGAACAGAACATGGTAACACTGAATGGTTTAAAATTAAGCAAGGTGTGCAACAAGTTTGTATTCTTTCACAATTCTTATTCAACCTTTATGCTGAACAAATAATCTGAGAAGTTGGGTTATATGAAGAAAAACGTGGTATCAGGATTGGAGGAAGACTCATTAACAACCTGAGATATGTAGATGATACCACCTTGTTTACTGAAAGTGAAGAGGACTGAAAACATTTTATGATGAAGATCATAATTCAGAATGAATTACATCTCAATGTAAAGAAAACAAAAGTCCTCACCACTGGACCGATAAACAACATTCTTATCAACAGAGAAAAGATTGAAGTTGTCAAAGGACTTCATTCTTCTTGGATCAACTATCAACACTTATGGAAGCAGCAGTCAAGAAACTAAATGACGTATTGCATTAGGCAAATCTGCTGCACCAGACCTTTTTAAAGTTTTGAAGAGCAAAGATGTCATCTTGAAGACTATGGTGTGCCTGATCCAAGGTATTTTTAATAACCTTATATGCATACAAAAGCTGCACAGTCAATAAGGAAGACAATAGAAGAATTGATGCTTTTGCATTATGATGTTGAAGGAGAATATTGTGAGTGCCATGAGCTGCCAAAAGAACCAATAGATCTGTGTTGGAAGAAGTGCAGCCAGAGTGCTCCTTGGAGGTCAGGATGGCCAAATTTTGTCTTTCATACTTCGGACATATTGTCAAAAGGAACCAGTCGCTGGAGAAGAGTATCGTGTTTGGTAGGGTGGAGGGTCAGAGAAAAAGAGGAAGACACCCCCCCACAATGAGATAGATTGGCCAATTTGCAGATGGACTCAGCGTGGCAACAATAGTGAGGTTGACCCAGGATCGGGCAGTGTTTTGTTCTGCTGTGCATAGCGTCACTATGAGTTGGTACCAACTCAATGGCACTTAACAACAACAATATTTCATGGCAAAATGGTGCTACTTAATGTTTCATCCCTGTTGTTGGTGGTGTTGGTGCTGTTGAGTCGGTTCCTACCCACAGCAACCTTATGCACAGCAGAACAAAACATTGCCCACCACCTGCTTCTCTATCATTACTGGAATCTGATGAATATAAGTCAATTTTGGTAAAAAAACAAAAAAAAAACAAAAACAAAGATAGGCAACTTGTTTCAGGTGCCATTGAGTTGTTTCCAATAGTGACACAACAGAATGAAAAACTGTCTAGCCATGCACCAACCTCACAATCATTGTTACTATTGCTGCTGATCCCATTGCTCCTGCCAGTATTCCTATCCATCTTGTTGAGAGTCTTCATATTTTTATTGACCCTCCACTTTACCACGTAATGTATCATTCTCCAGGGACTGATCCCTCCTGAAAATATGTCCAAAGTACGAGAGGCAAAGTTTCTTTATCCTGGCTTCCAAGGAACACTCTGACTGTACTTCTTCCAACAAGGATTTGTTTGTTCTTTAGGTAGTCCACGGTACTTTAAATATTCTCCTCCAACACCATAAATCAAATGCTTCAATTCTTCTACGGTCTTTCTTAGTCATTGTCCAACTTTTGCATGTATATGAGGTTACTGAAAATAGCATTGCTTGGGTCAGGTGCACCTTAGCCCTCAAATTGACATCTTTGCTGTTGAACACTTTAAAGAAGTCTTGTGCAGCAGACTTGCCTAAAGCAATATATTGTTGATTTCTTAACTGCTGCTTTCATGAGTGTTGATAGTGGATCCCAGCAAAATGAAGTCTTTGACAACTTCAATCTTTTCCCCATTTATTTTGATGTCATTTATTGGCCCAGTGGTGAGGATGTTGGCTTTTGTGTGTGTGTCTTTTGTTTTGTTTTACATTGTAGTGCAACCTATACTGAAGGCTGTTGTCTTTGATCTGTATTCCTAAATCTACCCATATGATCTACCACTACTCATGGTACTAAGAATAATGTAAAATCTGATAAAACCTACATTTTATATCCTGTCTTGAGATTCAAATTTATTAATCTCATTATTTAGTTGGATATCTAATAAGCATTTTAAAAACTGGCATAACTACACAGTTTTTCCAAATTGTTCTCCTTCCCTCAAAAACCTGCTTCTCTCCAAGGCTTTCTCATTTCAGCAAATGCTGTTATCATCAACTTAAATGCTAAAGCAAGCTATCAAGGGCATTTCCTCTCTCTCAAATTCCATATCTAAGCTATCAGTGATTCCTGTTGTGTATATCACCAACATAGATAGATAGATAGATAGATAGATAGATAGATAGATAGATAGATAGACAGATAGACTATAAATATACCAAAAAATAGTACCAAACCCACTGCCATGAGTCAATTCCACCTCAAAATAACCCTATATGATGAAGTAGAACTGCACCTAAGGGCTTCAGAGACTGTAAATCTTTACAGAAGCAGACAACCTTCGAGTAGCTAGTGGATTTGAACTGCTGAACTTTTAGTTAGCAGCTTAATGCTTAACACACTATGCCACCAGGGCTTCTTATTCTTTCTCTGTATCTATGCATCTATCTATCTTTCTATCTACCTATTGTTGTTGTTAGGTGCCACCAAGTCAGTTCTGACTCATAGCAACCCTATACACAACAGAATGCAACACTGCCTGGTCCTACACAATCCTCACATTGTTGTTGCTATATTGTTGTTGTTAAGTACCATCGTGTTGGTTCCAATTCATAGTGACCCAGTAGAGGGTTTCTGAGGAGTGACTGGTGGGTTTGAACTGCTGACCTTAGGGCTATGCAGTACAGTGCTTATCCAAGAGTGCCATACCAGGACTCCAGAGGTATCAAAATAGATTCATTTATTATTCTATCAAAGTAGTTTGGGTTTTTTTTTTCTTTATTGTTGTTGTTAAGTGCCATCGAGTTGGTTCCGACTCACAGCGATCCTGTAGAGGGTTTCCGAGGAGCAGCTGGTGAGCTTGAACCACCGACCTTGCAATTCAAACAGACCTTGAAGTCCAGTGCATTACCCTGCAGCACCACAGCAGGACTGTATACTCATATTTGTTATTAAATATACACAAATATTATTTCTTACTGTGTTACAAACTCAATGAGGGAGACACTAAGTCTTTTTTTTCTTAGAATCCTATGTGTAGAATCTAGCACAGTGCCTGCACATGGAACATACTTAATAAATCATTGTCAGATGAGTGGGTGCATTAGCTCAGGTACTGCACTAAACGTATAACTTTAGGGTGGTCAGCTTCTTATAGAGTCAGCATTTTATGTGTGAATAAGGTGGTTGTGAGGAAATTGGTTTGCTGGGGCAAGAAAGGGGCTGTGTAAGTAAAAGGAAAAGATAAAGAGCAGGTTTCATTTCCCACAAGGAAAATGAGGCATATACAAACTAGACAATTTACTAGAATTAGAGGATTTTTGCTTCATCATTTTCTCCCAAGTCTATGCTTCAAGTTGATAATAACCCTAGATCTTCCTCCCTACATATGTCAGGTGGGGCACATCTTATGTTTGGATTCTGTAAATAAGCCTACTGCTTGTACAGTGCATGGGAAGGCAAAAGGTAGATTCTCTGCAGTCTCTGGTAGATGCCATTGTGAGGCCCCAGCCATGGAGACCCTCATCCTACCCTCCTACTGTTGGAGTGTCTCAGGTTGTCTACTGCTTAGTTCATAAAGTACCCAGTGCTATGAGAACAACTTGTGCTTGAAACAGACAAAAAAACAATACAGTAGAAACCGACAAATCATCTTTATTAAATAATAAGCAAATAGTTTATGTAGATACAATCGCTTGTCTATTGCACATAAATGCTTCCCAAAGTGCAAGTTAAGCAGTCTATTTGAATGCCCTGTAATATGTGAAGGAAAACTCTTGTTCAGACACAGAGTTCTCCAGCCACTGCACATGTAGGGGAAAATGAACCATTTCAGTTCAGGAAGATTTAGAGAAAGTGTTATCAGTGCCATTTATAATGTCCTTGTGGTGACTTCCAAGTGTCTCTCCTAACAATTAAACCAGCTGTTACTCTTCAAAATATGTGTCACCTTCTTTGCATTGGGGTCAAACTCAAACTGTGAAGAGCCACTGAAGAAATAGAAAAAACCTGCAAATACATACAAGGGAAATAATGAGATACTTTTTTTTTTTTCCAAAGAAATAAAATTTTCAACACACATAACTTGGAGTAATAGTGAAATAAAAATAGAATATGTTTATTCATTTACTCTGTGCCAGGGACTATGTCAATCTATTTGCATGCTTTTCCTCATTTGTCACCATAACAATCCTGTAAGAGAAGTGTATCTAACCCCATGTTACAGATGAGCAAAGTGACAGATGTAGATGTTGGCCCAAAGTCATTCAGCAAGAAAAATATGAAGACATGCCAGCTCTGGCAGCAAGGGAGACTCCTGATTATTAAATTATCTGCTTCCAAGCAGATAAAATTCTCTGCTTGTCTAGCTACCATTGTTGTTAAGTGCCATCAAGTTGGTTCCAACCCATAGCAACCCTGTATATGGTTATCAAGGAGTGGCTGGTGAGCTTCAACAGTCAACCCTGCAGTTCAAATTGATTTTACAGTCCAGCGCATTAACTCACAGAACCAAAGTTTGAATATTAGGTCTCTTTATGTTCTTCCTTCCCTATGCTCCTCCTCCCTCACCTTTCGCAGTCTGAGGGGTGCTGCTGGCCTCATGGAAGCACTGAACTTGTCAAAACATCCAAGAACCCTTGACTCCTCTGTAAACATTATGCTCAGATTGCCATAATATGATCATCAGTCACCACCCACCTGTCTTTGACTAGAAATACATATATATTTATAATATATATAAACTTTGATCACATGAAAAGGTAAATATTTATAACTGGCCAGTCTGAGCAGTGACTGACCACACAGAGAAGATATAGAAAGTCTCCTGGGAAGTAGTAGTGGTGGTCAGATGGGACAAAAGAATACATCAGCAAGCCATTATTAAATCTAGTTCACATTTGATGGGATCCGACATGGTTATCAGATAATAGCTCTGCTGTTGTTGTGAAGTGCCACCAATTTGATTCCCACTCATAGTGACCCTATATAGGGTTTCTGAGGAGTAGCTGGTAAGTTTGAACTGCCAATCTTGCAGTTCCAACCAAACTTGCAGTCCAGTACTTATCCTATAGCACCATACCAAGACTCCAATAATAACTCCAGATATGAAGAAACAACACTGCATGCATAAAATAAAGCAAGGATTAATAATAATTATCTTTACCATTTAAAATAAATACTATGATATAAAATAGCCATATGATTGGGGAAAAAAAAAAAAACCTTAGGTAAACTACAAATTGGGGGAAGGGAGGGGGAATTTCTTTTTAAAAAATAGTATAAAAATGATTTCAATTCTTCTATTTACTTTGATAGCATGAATTGTTTCAAGTTCACCATTGTCAACAAAATAAATGCCTGCTTACCAAATGCTTCAAAAACAGCATCAATTTTTGTGTCAACGCCTGGAAAGTCATCTGCTGTTTGCCTGGGAAAGCCTGGCTCCAGGGTCTGTCTTGTCTCGTCAAATCTGCTCAAGAGAAAGAAATAAATACAGCTCAGCATTATGTAGAGACTATGTTACCGAGACATGCAAATAATGTTAGGTTTAATGTAGAATTCTAGTAAACTTTCCAACTAGTGCAATAAATGTCAAATGTGTGCAGCACTACCAGGATATGTGACTTTAATGGTACTACAAACATAGCTCTTAAGAACCCATTTCTACCAGGATCAGGGAACACAACTTACTTTAACAACTGCTGTTATCTATCTGTCCCAAAGACATGAAGGTGAAGGAAACACATCCATACACTCACAAAAAGTGAATTGAACCACTCATCTAAAATACCAATTTCACATCCCAGTTAATTATCATAATAACATGCTTAGTGCTTCTGCTCTATTTCATTGCCTAGAGGCTGAGGCATTAAAATCTTGCAAATGGCAATCCCAAGGCACAACAGTTGGTTTCTTTTCACCTAGAACTACAGAGGAAGGAGAGTGAGTCAGGAGGAGGAGGAGGAGATGGAATGTGTGACTACTTGCCTCCATGGATAGCTGCCACCTTTGCCATGAGACCAGAAGATCATGATGGAGCCTGTCTACCATTACTGACTGAATATTTTGATCAAACATTATATAGAAGAATCCTGATCAAAAGGGGGGAAATGCAGAATATAACTTCAATCAAGACTTGATGGAGCCATGGAGGCTGGATGAACCTCTGAAACTATTTTCCTGAGATAATCTTTAAACCATAAACAAAAAATATCCTCTGATGACTTCTTAAAAATCAGTATAGTTTAAAATGTCTGCGCTGAGCATTACGGACTTCCCAGAACTGTCTATATGAGATTAAATGGATAACAACAACTTGAGAGATTACATAGGAACCTTAGGGCACAGTGAATTTATGTTAATAGAGAGGAACAACTCAGCAAAGGAGGATGAGACAACAAAGTAACATTAAATGAATGATCCATAAATCTCAAGTTTCCTAACATACTTGGCCTTTATATACCTAGCCTCACCAGTCTGTACATCTCAATGTGCTCTTATAATCTTTTAGAACAAAGAATTGGACTGAGACACAAAGCATAGTTAATTTCTTTTTGGTCCCTGGCAGGACCTTCATTGAAATGCCCTGATGTCTCAGAGTCTAGGCAGATGGCCCAGAAATCAGCCCCTCTGTGAATCCTGAGTTCTAGCTATGAAACCAGATTGATACTACTTGTTCTCCTTTTATACAGGCAGTGGTGAAGTCATTGGGAATAATATAGCTGGTTGGGAAGACCAGACAAACACACAATGAGGCCACATGTAGACTTATAACACAACAGGAAAGGAAGGCTAAGTTGTGACCTCGATTCTTAGGGCTTGAAAGCTCAGACCAGCAAGCACCCATTTGGTTTGCTGTCCAACAGAAAAGGCTTCATGGAGGTGGTGAAACTTGATCCAGGCCCTGAAGGATGGGTGTAATTTGGGTTGGTGAAGGAGAAGAGAGGAGACTCCAACAGGAAAGGCTACAGCATAGAGGTGAATTTCTAGCTTATTGCAGCTGGGACTCAAAATAGGATAGCTTGCCTTTTGATAATTAGTCTGAGGCAATGCTAGGTTTTAAAGAAAACTCTTCCCCTTGACTGTCTAAAGCCCTATCCTGACAAGAGCGAGACCAAGGCATAAGGGAATTTCCTGTAAAGGAAGCGAATATTTGCCTTAATGAGAGTCAAAATAAACATCCGGTTACATCTTACCTCCAGTATTTGTCCCCTACAAAGAAGTATGTTTTCTTCTTTTCCTTATCGGAAATGGCTGCATCAATTTTCCTTATGGTTGAAGGAAAACCCAGGGTTTGGATAGTTCTTGGATAACCTACTTGTATCTCAGTTCCTCTGATGGCCCAGAACTGATTATCTGGTTAAAAAAAAAAAAAAAAAAAAATCACTGTGAGATCATCTTTAAACATGAAGCAAAAATATCCATGATTTGTTTTACACCAAACCATGTTGCTATTGTAGTTAAGTGTCATCAAGTGGGTTCTGACTCATAGTGACCCTGTACAGGGTTTCTGAGGAACAAATGGCGAATTTGAACTTCCAACCTTGTGGTTAACCAGTTCAGTGCTTATCCTACAGTGGCACATCAGGACTCCTATGATCTCCTAGGACCTATGTACATGGGATCAAATTTACATTAGCAACTCAAAAGATTCCATAAGAAGCTTAGGGGCAATGAGTTCATGTTAATATGAGAGGAACAATTCAGAAAAGGAAATGTGAGAATGATTACACAAGTTGAGAAATGTAGTCAATGTCATTGAATACTACATGCTAACTGTTGAATTGGTATAGTTCTGCTGTGAATCTTTTCATCAGTCACAATTACACAAAATACAATAGTAAAAATAATTCAGAGTTGCACTAAAATTTTAATAATTAACTCATTTTTTCCATAAATACATTTTAGTACGTTTAATTTGTTAGTAAAGAGGACATCAACATATTAGATTCAATTACCAGCTCATAGTGTGCATTTAACAAAAATTTGCAGATTGAATCATTACTTGATTGAATAAATGAACAAAGTTAAAATAAAGAAATTTACAACTCTGGGAGACATATTGCTCTGTGTTTATTTTAATCATATGTTAAATATAAATAAAGTATACCTAAAGGAGCTCTGGTAGCGTAGTGGTTACGAATCGGGCTGCGAACCTTTAAGGTCAGCAGTTCGAAACTACCAGCCGCTCCGCGGGAGAAAGATGAGGCTTTCTACTCCCGTAAAGATTTACACCCTTGGAAACCCTATACAGGGTCGCTATGGGTCGGAACCGACTCGACGGCACTTAACAACAACAACAACAACAATTCTGGTAGCATAGTGATTACAAATCGGACTGCGAACCTTAAGGTCAGAAGTTCGAAATTACCAGCTATTCCGTGGGAGAAAGATGAGGCTTTCTGCTCCCTTAAAGATTTACAGCCTCCTCAGAAACCCTGTACAGGGTCACTATGAGTTAGAACCGACTCCACGGCACATAACAAATACCTAATTCTCACAATTTTGTTTGTATTTTACAGATAACATCTTCTATATAAGGAAAGATATCCTACAATGCAGATTAATTTTTGTTGGTGTTCTTAAGTGCTGTTGAGTTGGTTCCAACTCATAGAGACCCTGTTATAGGGTTTCCAAGGAATGGTTGGTGAGTTTGAACTACAGACCTTGTAGTTCACAGCACGATGCTTATCCTAATTTTAAATATGTGTAATGCATACAACACTGTATGTTTGTTTAATGTCATTACATTTTTCAGAAAGATAGGCAGATATATGGTATGTGTGCATACTATATAAGCATATTCTTACATAGGCATAGAACAATTATGGGCAGATATACAAGAGTCCTTGGGCATGACTATATCTCAGGAGAATTGGGGAACTGAGAGCAGTAATATATTTTATCATGTGCATATTAACCTCTGAGAATCATGTCTCAGCCAACTATTACTACATAATAATTACCTTTAAAAATGAAAACAGTATCTTTGCTAGCAACTTCAAATGCAGCATCCACACCTGAAGGAAGTGTTGGCCAAAATGAAGAGATCAAATTAAATTCAGGTGTGAGTGACCTGAGGGATTTGCGCCAAAAATATCTGAAATACATATGAAAAGAAATGTAATTAGAAAGAATATTTCATCTTTAATATATTTTCCTCATTGTCGGTTATCCTCCCTATGTCTTCATTTTTCTGGGCTCCACCTAACAGTCTGAGATATCACGCATATCGCTAGTAAGCAAATATCTTTCCTTTTCCTTCAGAAGCCTGCAAAAGCTAACCTGGCATAGGATTCTAGAATAATGTATTCTACACAAGGAAATGTATTCTACAATGCAGATTAAACAGCCAAGTGTAAGTTTTAAATGTTTTCAAGGCATACAAAACTGTGTGTTTGTTTAACAACAGTTGTTTTTTTTTCAGTAAGATAGGCAGATAGGCATCTATGTGGGTGCTCTGTAAGTATATTGTTACATATGCAGAGAACAATTATGAGCAGATGTACAAGAGTCCTTGAGAATGATATATCTCAGGAGAACTAGATAACTGAGAGCAGTGATACATTTTATTATGTACATATTAACCCAGCACTAAGCAAATGAATTGACTAAAAGTAATACTTATCATGGTGTCTTTTTTAAAGGGGATAAAGATTAAAATTCTTATACTAAAGACCTACTTGTACCTTTTGAAAATAACTTATCACATTTGGGAAAAATTAGAGAATAAGTATAAAATCTTATTCTCTGAGTTTCCAAAAATTGAACTTAACAATTTTAAGACAATGTGATAAAGTTAGAATTAGATCAGAATGATTTCAAAGATCAGATCAGAAGAAGCTTTTCTTTTTTTTCCAAATGTTTAAAAATCTCTAAGAGTTTGTATTTGTTTTCTTCTCTAAACTTTGTAGATCAAAACAATACCAAACAAACAAACAAAAGTGCTGCTGAGTCCATTCCAACTTGTTGATGTTAAGTGTCGTGGAGTTGGTTCCAACTAATAGCGACCCTGTATACAGTTTCCAAGGAGCAGCTGGTGGGTTTGAACTGCCAACCTTGTGGTTCACAGTCCAGTGCTTATCCTACAGTACCACACCAGTAGTCCATTGCAATTCACAGAGACCCAATAAGATAGAATAGAACTGCCCCCATAGGTTTTCCAAGGCCTTCATCTTTAACAAATAGATAGAAAAAATTGTTTTCTTGTCTCACTTGTCTTTAAAGAATAGGAATTCTCCCCTCAGAGTGCTAACAGAATCAAAGGACAAGGCAGGGTCACACATATCTTGTGTCTCATGTTCTGGAGGGTTGGGTGTAGGTACCACAGTTTCATCATGGGAGACAGGAGGCGGTCCTAAAGAGAACAGATCCAGGGATGTGAACATTAGGAAACATGTGATACTCCATCAATTATTGTACTTCCTACATATTCTCAAAGTGTTTTTGATTGAAAACTGATGTAGCACTTTCAAGTTTCCTGAACACCATCATTGTAAACTTTCTTGCAGAGTTACTTTTTCAACATCACTCACCATAGAGGGACTGAATGCCATTCACATCATCTTGGGAAAGGTGGAATCGGGCCAGATCTGTGAGTGGGTTGTACAGTGGGTACATCAGAGCTTCGATGTTGTTCGAATGAAAGAGACCCAAGGAATGGCCAAGTTCATGAGCAGCAACAAGGAATAAGTTGGTTCCTATTTAATAAATCATAAATAATCATTATTTATTCCTTAAATACATGCACACTTCACAAGCCAGTTGTATATTGTTGTTGTTGTTGTTGTTAAGTGCCATCGAGTCGGGTCCGACCCATAGCGACCCTGTACAGGGTTTCCGAGGGTGTAAATCTTTACGGGAGTAGAAAGCCTCATCTTTCTCCCGCGGAGCGGCTGGTAGTTTCGAACCGCTGACCTTACGGTTCGCAGCCCAATTCGTAACCACTACGCTACCAGAGCTCCTTGTATATTATATTTGTTTAAGCCTTTTATGCCTTGTTTGCTGGTTAGTTGATCAATTCCACGTACTTCATGTGGAAACTTAAATAAAAAGAGTTGCTCTCTACTCAACTCTGTTTCATGATGACCCATGTGGGTCAGAATAGAGCTGAGCTCCATAAGGTTTTCAGTGGCTCAATTTTTGGAAGTTGACCATCTGGTCTTTCTTCCAAGGAGACTTTGAGCAGACTTGAACCTACAGCCTTTTGGTTAGCAACCAAGTGTTTTAACCATAATCAACACCCAGGGAAAGTCAAGTGTTTTAGTTATCTAGCTAAATGCCAAAAGTTCATGGCTTTAGCAAACAAATTTATTTTCTTATTATTTGTTGTTAAGTAAATCCTGTCAAGTCATTCCTACCTATAGTGACTCTGTATAGGGTTTCCAAGGAGCAGCTAGTGGGTTTGAACTGCCAACCTTGTGGCAGTTAAAAAATCTGTTTAAAACACAACATGACCAGTCATGTCTAACATTTGTCAGAAAAAAGATTTTGGCCACACAAACACTGACTGTATTTAGGTACTTTTCTTCACATTATTTTTTTAAAACATAATGTGGAAATTGGAAGGCATTGGGTTAGTTGTGACTGACATAGCAATTAAGTCTACTTTACTTTTGGAAATGTTATTTTTCTAACTCACGACCTAGAAAAGCTCTCCTTTGAAACTTTGTGGGAAAATGTTAATTAAAGCAACCAAGAATTTTACCCAGAGGTAATCTCATGGTTTTACTCTGTATATAAATTCTGTTTGAATTTTCATTATAAAGCCCCATCAAATATTAGAAATAGTATTTGTTTTAGTGTATCTTTTTGAAATTGTGAAAGCCAATCCTCAAAGCATTTAATTTTGAACCAAGAAACATTCTTCTATCTATACTATTTGAACATTGTATTTTTGGGTTCTGTGTTTACTTCAGAACAAGTTTCTAAAAACTCTTTCTAACCCTGAAGTAATAAAACGTTGATTTAGCCAGAATAACCTGAAAAAGAATCCCAATGTCAACAATTTAATTCCTATTTCTGTCTTATAGAAGAAAGAAGTAATTGGGGAAAATATATAAGCACTTTGGTAGTGGTGGTGGTGTGCCGTGGAGTTGGTTCTGACTTATAGTAACCTTGTATTGGGTTTCCGAGGTTGTAAATCTTAACAGGAAAAGAAAGCCTCATCTGTCTTCTGTAAATTCTCCCATGGAGCTGCTGATAACTCAAACTGCTTATCTTGCCATTAGCAGCCCAGTTTATAACCCACTACATTACCAGATTTCCTATATAAACACTAAGGTGGTTGTTGGCATGCCGTGGAATCGGTTTGATTCATAGCAACCCTGCATAGGGTTTCCAAGGCTATAAATTGTTACAGGAGCCCAAAGCCTCATCTTTCTCCTGTGTAACAGCTGATAGTTTCAAACTGCTGACCTTAAGATTAGCAGCCCAATGCGTAACCACAATGATATAAAAGCTCCTTTATAAACACTAAAAAAAAGCATATTTTATGATCAGTGGGGATTTAATGCAATACACTATTTCTTGGATGTTTAAAATTTGATATAATGAAAATTTGATCTTAATAATGATAGATTGAAGATCCCACATGATTAACACACAATTTCTTATATTGTGCTTACCAAGCAAGGGATAAAATTTTAGACATCTAAAAAAGTTTTCTAAAATGATTAAAACAAAAATATATTCTGCCAACCACTGGAAAAAATCCTGAACACCCCATTTCTTGTGAGTTGTTGAATATTGAAAGTTTTCCAAATATAAAAAGAAATGAACACCAAAATTATTATGAGAGATTATACATCTCACCTGTTTTATCCTCTGTCCATTGTTCATCATCATCAAAGTGAGCATCTCCATCAATCCCAGGCCCAGGTGAAAAGGCATGAGCCAAAGTATTTCCAGGTCCATCAAAAGGGAAAAAATCTCCATGACCTAACAGGGAAAATGTTTATCTTTTCTAACTTGAAAGATAGGTAATTAGGATTTCTTTTAGTCACTTTTCCATAAAATAATACTAGATAAATGAATACATTTCATGATTGGTTCTTTTGTTTGTTTGTCTGCTGGTAGGTTGGTTGTGTTTTTTTACCTTTAACTGCAAAAGAGATCATTATGTCAGCCTCTCCTTCATGAATCCTGGAGAATGTGAGAGGAGTCACCTCCGCCCAGACCTTCAAAGCTTTCTCAATGGCAGAATCAACAGCATCTCTTGACAGATCCTGTGTATACTCTACAATCCTGTAAAAGAAAAATCAAAAGTACTCTTTGATCCTATGCCAGTAATGTATACAGCTTTGATCTTTGGATCTTTGGACCCATTACCTGTAAGTAAGATGAGTTTTCCTCCACTTAGGTGAGCCAGGAAAGGTAGAGAAGTGGCCAACATCAGGAACTCCACATCTGGGCTTGTGCATCACCTCCAAGGTGTTGGAGTCCAGCTTCCCTGTCACCTCCAACCCAAAGAAGTTCTGCATCTCTTTAATTTTTTCAACAACAGGGTTGCTGTTCTTTCTTCTCACAAACTGCTTGCCATCTTTTGCTAGATCGTAGTAGTGTTCTAAGTATTGCTAAAGAAACAATTGGTTCTTAGGTCATTCTTGGGATTTTTATCTATTTGTAATATTTGACAGTTGCTTACATTTTAAAAAATATTTGAAGTATTCTACTAGCTTTCTGAAATTAAAATAAAGGGCATGTTTGTTTAATTCTTAAAGCTACCACCTTTTCTTTGTTTTGCTTTTGTTAACTATACAACCTCTGCAGTTCAGCTAAGTGATGAGGGTGAAATGAAAAGTTGAGATTACAAACAGTTCACTTAAAGAAAAAGAAAACAAAATAAACATCTTTTGCCATTTTAGGTAATATTATTCAGTTTCTTCAGTTTTCTACTTTACATTGCTTATAAGGATATGGCTTTAGGAAAGAGTTGGGTAAATTCCTTTGTCTAAACTTGACTTGAGCAATATAAATATTTAGTCAAAATCACATTGAATCACATGCTATAAAGAAGTTCCAAAACAAGACACATTCCAGTGTACTGCACTTGTGATTCATGTGTCTCAAATATGAATGCAGCTACTACTACTGTGTTGTATGCACTTAAGGAAAATCGGAGCATGAATGTTCCTATCTACATAAAAAGAGTAATACTGACACTCTTCCACATCTAATACTTAATAACTTACCCTCTTTGAACTATTTTTATATAAGTTAGCTCAAACCATTCTCTTAAGAATGGAAGGCAGAAAGGGCCTCCCCATTTTTTTCTACCAGTGGGTGGGATGGAAACCTTCATTCATTACCTGAACAAAATCCGTGATAGAGTTCTCATCCTTTGCTGTTTCCAGCAGAGGGTAAGCTGAGCAAGCTGCCACGCAGAGAAGCAAAAGGACTGGAAGACTCATTTCCACTAAGTTCGCTCAGCTCTTCCTGAAGATGCCTTGCTTTCTGATACCTCTTTCTAGGTCCAGTCTGTGGAGCCCAACTTTTATAGGGTGACAATATTTGTTTAGATCACCCTCTGCTTGACTCATTTTTTTTTTTTAATCCAAATGGCAATAGGATCATATCCAAAAATTCCGAACTCAGAGTAGAGTGATACAACTTCTTTACTAATTTATTTCAACCTCCCCAATTTTGCAATGCAAAACAGTGATTAATCTTCAGGAAATACTTCCTGTCTCAGTAAAGGAGAAAACTAGGACACATTTTTCCCCTTTAACGCTGGAAAAAAAAATATGGTCTGGAATTTACAAGACAATTCAGGCTTGTGTGTTTCTGAGGAAAAGAGGGCAGATTTGGCAAAAAGCTAGAATTGTGCAGAAGTTTCAAATGCAGTTGTAGTTTAAGAAGAAAATATCTTAAAATAAGATGTAATGTAATAAGATATAAAGAAATGAAATACTGGTATACATGTAGCTATCATCAGTGCTTAGAATAAAATTGGAAGGGAAAATTCATTGCTCATTTTTGAAATCTCTGGTTTGAAATACCAGTTACAGCTTATGGAAACCCCATGAATTACAGAGTAGAACTGCATAGGATTTCATTATTTTGTGATCTTTTGGAAACAGATAGTCAGATCTTCATTCCCAGATACTGCTGGGTGGGTTCAAACTGTTACAACCTTCGACTTGATTTTTTATGCCACCTAGGGAAATACCTACTATTAATTTCTGGTTAGAATTGTTAATAGTTGAAAGGAAAAATTCAGGGACAGGGCAGAATAAAGAGAGTCTGTGAAAAAGAAGAAAATGTAGCTAGTCTCTCATGATTGGTTTTAACTCTGTACCCAACTTTTAAGGGGTTGTTGTTGTTGTGTGCCATAAAGTCTGTTCCAACTCATAGCGATCCTATATATGGTTTCTGAGGAGTAGTTGGTAGGTTTGAACCACCAACCTTGTGGTTAGAAGTCCAGTGCTTATCCTACAGCACCATACAAAAAAAAAGGTAACTTAAAAAAAAAAAAAATTAAAGGAAAATATCTTAGCTAGTTATAATCTAGTAAAGGAGAAGATCCCTTCCCAACTAATTCTACAAGGAATAAAAAAGGAAGTTGCATAAGAATTAAGCAGAGGAAAGGGTGTCCACTTTAGAAAAAGCCCACAGATAAAGTAGCAGATAGAAACAGCCTAGAATGATTTGGACAGAGGTAAATGCAAGAGCAGAATAAATATCATGCAGAGCCAAAAAAGTTTAAGGTACATAAAGAAAAAGGCATAGAATTGTTTTTTTATGTGAAAAGTTATAATAAAAAATGAAAGATCTTGTTTGGGGAAGATAGATTTGAGACCAATATGAAAGGCCATATTGGTCAAGTGCTTTCGGTGTATTCAATTGATAAAGCAGAGAATCATGTTTCTCTATAAAGGTTTTTGTTTTTCCCCCAATATGCTTACTATAGAACATTTAGAACATTTAAAAATGTCAAAAGAAAAAAAATCACTTATAGTCATATCACAGGGAGGAAAGCACTATCAGCACTTTTGCATGATCTTTTAACACCGGTATATACTTTTTTTTGTTTATATCCTGCTCTGTGGAAGAAAAGCGTAATCGTGTTCTTCTGTAAAGATTTCCAGCCTTGGAAACCCTATAGGGTGGTTTTACTGTTTGTTACATTTGAGTTATCTCTCAATTGGTAATTGCATGCCTTCAGGTAACCCTTTTTTTAAAGAATGCTTCAGGAGTGGCATTCACTGATTCTTGCTTGTCTGAGCATGTCTTAAGTTAACCTTTCCTATAGAACATATGTGAGGAACTCTGGTAGTGTTGTGGTTAAGAATTGGGCTGATCACTTTAAGAACTACCAGCTGTTCTGTCGGGATCAAGATGAGGCGTTCTTCTCCAGTAAAGATTTACAGGCTCGGAAACCCCATACAGGGTCACTATGAGAATGAATCGATTCCACGGCATTGTCACTACCACCACCACCACCATAGAACATATGTTGGTTGGTTAAGAAATTCTATTTTTCTCTTCCAAAATTAACATTCATGCAATAGAGCGCTGAAATGTTTTCTAGCTGGTTGTTGTTGTTGTTAAGTGCCATTGAGTTGGTTCCGACCCATAGCTACCCTGTATAGGGTTTCCGAGGAGCGACTGGTGCGCTTGAACCGCTGACCTTGCAGTTCAAACGGCTTTGCAGTCTGACGCATTAGCCCACAACACCACATCAGGACTCCTTTGGGGAAAGTCCTGGGTCTCTGGACAGACTGGTGAGGAGATAAACATATTTCTGAATCTTTCAGATGGCCAGAGGGTGCTGAAGTTTCATAAAGCAAGCACAGATAAGCTTCCTTGTCTTCATAGAATATAGAAAAAAATCATTCAACCTTACTTTCAATGTTATAACTCTCTCACCTCCCCCTTTTCTTTATATAAGCCTTAGTGTGGGGGCTCCATACAATAATCACTGTACTGCAAACCACAAAGTCCGTGGTTAGAACTCACCAGCCGCTTGTCGGGAGAAAGGTGAGACTTTCTGCTTCCACAAAGACTTAAAGCCTCAAAAACCCTATGCAATATGAGTCAGAACCTACTCAACAGAACTTTACGACAGCAACAACAGTGCAAAGCTGGGAAAAGCTGCTTCAGTGCCTAGTATCCAGATGTTTCTTAGACGGAAAATTTTTCTCATTTAAGTTTCTCAATCAGATAGGTGATAACATCAAAACTGGTAGCAACCATTGAATTGGATTTAAATGTAAAGGATGTGGAGTTCACTGTTTCGTCGTTGTTGTTAAGTGCCATCGAGCCGGTTCTAATGTATAGATAGAGGCCTTGTATAGGGTTTCTGGGAGTCCTGGTGCGGCGCTGTGGGTTAATGCACCAGACTGCAAAGCCGTTTGAACTGCGAGGTCACCAGCTGCTCCTCGGAAACCCTGTACAGGGTCTCTATGAGTTGGTTCCAACTCCATGGCACATAACCACACCACCACTATGGGTCGGAATCGACTCATAACAACAACAACAATAGGGTTTCTGAGGCATGTATGGTGGGTTTTAACCAACAACCTTGTAAGACAAACTGACCTTGTAGTCCAGTGTTTATCCTACAGCGCCACGCCAGGACTCCAGGACTGTTTTAGGGCTATAATGATAATACTCCAATACTGTGTATGAAGAACTGCAGATATAAGAGAGATATAAAGAAAAAAACCTACAGATATTAAGAGAGTGAGAATGCAAAGAAATGATACAGACGGGGTTAAAAATAAAGGAAAGATGGGAAAGTCAAGACATTGTATCTCATTGTATGTCATTGTATCTCATAATTTAGAAGCTTGAAGGGAAGAATTGGAGCCACCAACCAGTCTACAATTAAGGGTTCCTTTCTCTGTGACTTGGCAGATCTTTGCCTGGAAAAATTGTCTCTTAACTCCATGACTTAAAAAAACAATGCAGAACACACACACACACAAAATAAAAACATTTCCTACAAGATGATTCTGACTCACACTGACCCTGTTGCTGTTGTTGTTAAGTGTTATTGTGTTGGTTCTGACTCATAGAGACCATGTATAGTTTTATAGGGAGTATAAAACTATTCCATAGGGTTTTCAAGGCTGTGATCTTTACAGAAGCAGACAGCTACATCTTCCTCACATGGAGCAGCTGGTGGGTTCAAAATGCTGACCTTTCAGCTAGCAGCAAAATGTCCAACCGTTAATGCCACCATGGCTATTCTAACAGATGGACATCCTGGGTAGATCCCAGAAGGCTGGATAACTTCTGTTTTTGATATATATTAAAGGAGGCTTCAAAATTAAAAGATAATGGAATTTTTCCATGAACTTTTAAGTTCCTTCACACATATATGTGTATTTATGTATGTAGAGAGATATAAATATATTGTGGTTAAGTGCTGTTGAGTTGGTTTCTACTCATGGAGAACCCGTATAGAGTTTCCACAGAGCAGCTGATGGGTTTGAACTGCCTTCCTTGCAGTTTGCAGTCCATTGCTTATCCTACAGCGCCACTCCAGGACTCCATAGATATATAGATATGAGATCTATATATACAATCACGGAGTCCTGGTGTGGCGCTGTGGGTTAATGTGATAGACTGCAAGTTGTGTTCTACTCACCAGCCTTTCCTTGGAAACCCTATACAGGGTCACTATGAGTCACAACCAACTTGACGCACTTAACAACAACAACAGCATACAATCACATGAAGGAGCTTAAAAAGTTCACTTATGCTTTATCCTGGGAATCAGATTTCTTCGTATTTTGCTCAAATTATCTGCATCTGGCAGTGCTCATTTCCCTGACAAATCGGTGACAATGATCTGAGGCACTGTTTTGCCATGGCTATAAGATGCCTCATCTTCATTGAGTCACGATTTTGTTAGTGTTGACAAATTCTTTCAATGGGTCACTTTATGTACAAATAACTTAATAAAAGTTTGTGTTGTAATAATAGCCATAATTAGGGCTAGATATATGCCAATCAGAGCTAGCTCATACCCCCACAGAGCTGGTGTTGGTGTGCTAAAACCAAGGTTCTGAACCTACACAGTTTAATATGATTAATAACTCTGAGTCTTTTCAGAGTGTATAATGTAGTTAGACAAATATATATTTGCATATATGTATCTGTATGTGTGTGTGTGTGTGTGTGTGTGTATATATATATATATATATATATATATATATATATATATATATATTACTGTTGTTAAGTGATATCAAGTTGGTTCTGACCCATAGTGACCCTGTATAGGGTTTCTGAGAAGCGACTGGTGAGCTGGTGCTGCCGCTCTTGCAGTTATACTGACTTTGCTGTCTAGCACATTAATCCACAGTGCCACACCAGGACTCCATATGTATATACAAAGAACCTGTCCTAACAGATACTATATATTGATCAACTACTATGTGCCCAACACATTGTACATATTATTTCTAATCTTTCCAATTACATTTCAAGGTAAGAATTAGCGTTTTTACTTAACAGAGGAGAAAATAGAGACTCTGGGAAGTTAAATATTTGTTTAAGTCCACAAAGACAATAAGCAACAGAGATGTGATCAACATTGTTCAGTGAAAATCACAAGAAGATGCTGTAGGGTCTATAGACCAACCATCAGCAGCAGTACCTCACATCTTATCTATTTATAGCATCCTTTATGCCTGGCTTTATCCTTTCCCACAAGTTTTCTCTCTCTAATTTTCATATGCTTGAAAACTGAACTCTGGATACGCCTCTTAACTCAATGTCTGTCTGATAGTTAAGCTTCAGATTTGGGAGTTCTTCTCCACACTTCCTGACCTTCTGACTTCTCAAAACTCTTTTTTTTTTTTAAAGCTCAGTGTTTCATGTCACCATCCTCTATTTGTGCTGCCCAGATGTGACCCACTTAGGACACATGTCTATGAGTTGTCACCATTGTGTTAGTAAGATTCAAAAATGGATAGCGCCTCCTCACTCACAAAGATTAGTCACAGTTCTAATTCCTGGCTAAATTCTGCTGGTTACAAATTCCTAAGTACTTATCAACAAAATCTAACTTTCTGGTTCCGAGCATATACACACCATCTAATGTACCTCTGTGGCTAATCCACATTTCACAATCTTTCTTTCTTTTGAAAGCCACATTTTCTCCAATTATAAAATGGGAACATGTTGTTCAAAGTCACAAATTTAGAGCATAAGTGGAAAGTTTCTCCTCAAGAGATACGTATGTTCACATGTCCATAAAGATGTTCTTATGCTGTATGCTCCAGAAAGTACAGAATATGAACAGAGATTTTGTTGTTGATAATTCATTATCCATTTAACATATTCCTAATAATTAGACTAAAGAGTAACAAACAGTGAGCCTTTCTGTCAAAAGATTATCATCCAAGGAGTTCTGATAAAGCAAGGATTAAGCATTCAATTGCTAATTGAAAGGTTTGCCGTTCAACTCTCCCTGCTGCTCACAACTGAAAAGACCTGGCCAACTGCTTCCATATTATCCTTGTTTATTGCTGTTGTTGTTAGATGCTATCGAGTCAGAACCAACTCATAGCAACCCTATAGTAACCCTGTATAGCGTTACCGAGGCTGTCAATCTTTATGGGAGCTGAGAGCTTCATGTTTCTTCTGCAGAGCAGCTGGTAGATTCAAACTGCTGGCCTTGTGGTTAGAACAGCCTAGGAAACACTATAGGAGCTATCTACTCTGTTCTATAGAGTCTCTATGAGTCTGAATCGACTTGATGGTTCAAAATAGCAACACCAGCATTAACTCGATGCATGTTGTTATTGTTAGATATTGTTGAGTCAGTTCCAAATCATAGTTGTTGTTGTTAAGTGCCATCGAGTCGGGTCCGACCCATAGCGACCCTGTACAGGGTTTCCAAGGGTGTAAATCTTTACGGGAGTAGAAAGCCTCATCTTTCTCCCGCGGAGCGGCTGGTAGTTTCGAACCGCTGACCTTAAGGTTCGCAGCCCGATTCGTAACCACTACGCTACCAGAGCTCCTTGCAAATGCAAGGAAGACT